AGGACAGAGAACTGCCCCACTCGTAACCCACTGGGGAGAGAATCTCTTGGCAGGGGTAGACTACAGCAGATGTGATTCCTTCCTCAGGTGGTGTGTTTTGACCTGAGATCTAAAAGATAAAGAGGCATGCAGCCAGAGGAGGCTCACTGAAGTACCAGAAACAAGGGATCTGCTGTTGATAGCCAACAAGGTACTGGCTCTTGACAAGTTGAAATGTGCTATCCTTAATGGAAATGTACTGTGTGCATAGGGTCAGTGCGAATCAGAATGGACTGGGTGACAATGAGTTTTTATGAGCTTCTAAGTAGAAAACCTGGAGAAGGACATCGTGTGTGGTCAAACAGAGGGTCTGCCATAAAGAGGAAGATCGTGACTGGATTGACACAGTGGCTGTAAGAAGCACAGTAATGACTTTGACCAGATACTATTTCTTTGTATTGCACATCGGTTCCCACAAGTTGAAACATATTTGTTCGGGTTTAGCAACAATAGAAGTATGAAGTAATTTGGATTCAAAAATTCACTCATATTATATGTGTATCTACATATCCATATATAGCACATTGAAAGAATAGTATTTCTAATCTATTGGGTTAAATAAAATACATTAATAATTTGGCAGAAGCAACAGAGAAAAAAAGGAAAGTCAGAAATAGGAGAAGAAAAAAGATTGTGTAACTAATTAATGGCTGCCTCCTTTGCCCGGAGATCAGAACTGGAGGTTCCCAGCTACCAATATTGCTGAATATTTTTATCAAAATAGAAAAATTTTGATAAGGTGTGGGGGTGGGGGGATGGAATGCAGATCAATATTCAATTTTCCATGGAATCCAGACTTGCTGGAGCCATAGAGACTAGATGAAGCCCTGAAACTATTGCCCTCAGTTATTTGTTAAACCTTAAACCAAAACTATGACTTGAAGGTTTTTTTGAACCAAATATGAGTGTTTTAGAAAACTCACTGCCAGAGAGTTCATGGCAACTCACAGAGAGTGTCTAGGGCAGGGTGGGGCTGCCCCTTAAGTTCCTGAGCCTGTGCCTGTGTAAGGAGTAGAAAGGGCGGGCCTTCTCCCAGGAGCACCGGCTGTCCTTTGCATTCAAAGTACAATGGCTAGCCACTAAGTCACTTGATTGGTACAGGTCATTACATTGAGCATTGTACTCTCTAAAAAAGCTATCACTATGATCTCAAATTGAAAATAGCAACTCAAAATGTTACACAGGAACCTTAGTGGGGCAGTGAGTTTATACTAATGGATGAAAAACAATTAGGAAAAGAAGTGAGAATGGTTGCAAGACTTGAGCAATATAAGAAATTTCACTGCATTGTACATATAGAAATTATTGAATTTTGCTGTGTTTTTTGTTGTCTATATTTTAACAAAACTTTAAATTTGTTATTAAAATCAACTCTTTTTAAAAAGTCACTTTTTGAAATGTGGCTACTAGAAACTTTGATCGTTTCCAGGTAAATATATGAGGCTTGCATTATATTTGCCTATCCTGTTACCTAGAATTCCAAAAGCAAGTATGTAAATATCAGATCTACACTATTGTTCAAATTCACAAGCTTTCTAAGATACGATTGTTTAAGTAATCTTGAGTCCAACAGAAAATCTCAAATTGTAGAGTTTGTAGTCGCTTAAAAATAAACTCCACAAAATGAAAGAATGCCTCTTAGGCCTTGTGTCAGACTCTAAGGCACACAAGAGAGAAATGTATGGAACCAAGCTCAAAATCATAAAAGAGACCAGGCTTCCTAGTCTGATACAGATTGGTAGAACCCCTAACACGATGTCCTTTACATCTGGACATGAACTCACCCCCATGGCTCAATTTTGAGTTGAACAACACACAAGTCTATGAAAGGAACGAAAACACTAGGGAGCTTCTGCACACTTTAGGATAATCCACCATTTGAGTTCAAAAGGACACCAGATACCCCAGGGCAAAGGTCAGAAAGGCTAGAAAAGGAGAAATGGAAACAGGAAGCAACACAAGGAAGAAGTGAGTTAAGTGGTGTTACATTGAAGGCACAGCAATCAATGAGATAGAGCAAAACGTATGCAAACTGTTAAATGTAAGACTAAGGATCTGTGCTGTAAATCTTGAGCCAGTTCACAATAAAAAGTTAAAATAAAAGTGATAATCATGAAGGCTAGAACTTCTGGGCTCTCCTTGTCCAAAACAAAACAGAAAGAAGGAAATTAAAGACTCAAAGAAGAAACTACAGTCATGTACCACATCGTCCAGGAGGGCAATATCCAACCGCCTATATGTAGGCAGTCCTAATCCCCATATAAGCTCACGAGTGCCCATCTCAGGTGCAACTCTTGGTCTCTCCTGTCCAAAGGAAGATGAATAAAAAAATCAATGATACGTAGAAACAATCAATCCAATGAACTAATGGTCCATATGGGCATCAATCTCCATGACCCTGAGACCAGAAGAACTAGTTGGTGCCCAGCTACTGCTCTGAAAGGATCACATTAGAATGTCCTGGATAAAGTGGGAGAAAAATGTGGAACAAAACTCAAAATCATTAAAAAAAAAAAAAAAAGACTTACTGGTGGGATTGAGTCTAGTGGAACTCTTGAGAGGGTAGCCTTTAGTCACCCTTCAGCTCTGGAAAGAAACTCACCTCTATGGCTCAGTTGTCAACCAAATAACCGACAGACCTACTGGACCAATAGGTAACTTCATGATAAATGGAGAACAGACTGAAGTTGTCGAGGATTTGATCTTTTGTATGTCCCCAATCATCGCTCAAGGTGTAGCCGTCAAAAGTTCATAAGATTTATTGCATTGTATAAATCTGCCACACTGGCGAGCATCTGACCCAAGCCATGGCATTTTTAGTAGCTTCCTATGTATGTGAAAGCTAGACGTTGAATAAGGAAGACTGAAGAAGAATCACTGTATTTGAACTGTGGTGCTAGTCAAGAATATTGAAAGTACCGTGGGCTACCAAAAGAACAAAGACATCTGTCTTGGAAGAAGTAGATGCAGAATGCTCCTTAGAAGCAAGACTGCATCTCACGTACTTTAGACATGTTATCAAGAGAGACTCGTCCTTGGAAAAGGACATCTTGCCTGGTAAAGTAGGGGGCCAGCAAAAAAGAGGAAGATGCTCCCAAGATGATTGACACAGTGGCTGTAGCAAGGGCTCAAACCTAACAACCACTGTGAGGATGGGGCAGGACCAGGCAGTGTTGCATTCTGTTGAGCATAGGGTCACTATGAGTCAGGAGGGAATTGAAGGCCCCTAACAACATAAGGAGAGCAATAACAATGGTGAGGTATGCATACCTTTGAGTAATCAATTATTGAAGGTCAGCA